GCAGGTCGACGGTGAGGTTAGTTTGCGGGCGTTGGCCACCATCTGCTTGAGCCTGGAGACGACAAATTACAGTCTGGTCTAGGACGCGAATGATGCCAAGGAAGCGTGGGAGAAGCTGCGGAATGCTTTTCAGGACAACGGTCTGACGCGGAAAATCAGGTTGCTGAGGAAGCTAACGTCGATCCGGTTGGACAAATGCGGTAGCGTGGAATCGTACGTCGATGAATTGATGTCCACGGCACACAAACTTGCGGGAAACGGATTCAAGGTCGATGATTCATGGCTCGCTGCGTTGTTGCTGATGGGACTTCCGGAGCATTACGAACCCATGATAATGGGACTTGAGGCATCGGGTACTGCGTTGACGTCTGACGCAGTGAAGGCAAAAATTTTGCAAGACGTGAAGGTGCAGAGCGGACCCAAGAATGACAGCGCAGACGGTGCGCTGTACTCAAACCAAAAATCGAAGCGTCGTGGTGTCAACTGTGGTTCTGCAAAGAAGGACACATGCCACAATTGCAAGAAGCGTGGGCATTTTGCAGCGAAATGTCCACAGAAGCAAAATCCTTCAAGGACGTCTGGTAAGGCTTTGTGCAGCGTTTTTGTGATCGGCAATGTAAGCGCCTCGGAGTGGTACTTCGATTCTGGTGCAGCAAGAATTGTCGCGTTCTGTGGGAACGGCAAACAACGACAGCATGAAGTCGGTCGCGAAGGGGTTTGTCAATCTCGAGCTGAGTGAAGGCCTCATCGAAATTCAAGAAGAGCTGCAGATTCCGGAACTGGCCACTAATCTGCTATCGGTCAGCAAGATGTGTCAAAAAGGATTGACAGTGGTGTTTACTGCAGATAAATGCGAGGTACACGATAGCGATGGGAACGTGCTCGCATCGGGCACACAGGTAGGTGGCCTGTACATGCTCAACCGAAGGAACGAGGAATCCTTACTTACAACGAGTTCAAGAATCTGGCACAGACGACTAGGGCATCTCAACCTTCAAAGTTTACGGAAGCTGATGGCGATGGCCGACGGCATCGAATTGGCAAACGACGTTATCCCGGAGTGCATCGCCTGTATCGAGGGTAAGCATGTACGTAATCCTTTTCCTTCCAGTGTGTCGCGAGCTGAAGGTCTGCTGGACTTAGTTCACTCGGACCTGGTTGGACCCATCGAGGTTCCATCTCTCGGTGGCAGCCGTTATGTGATGACTTTCATCGACGATGCGAGTCGAAAAGTTTTTTTCTACTTCCTGGAACGAAAAGTGAAGCATTTGAAGCATACGTGAAGTTCAAGTCCATGGCTGAACGGCAGACCGGCCGAAAGCTGAAGGTCAATGGGACCGAATACGTCAATGCGCCGTTCAGAAGCAGCTTAGAGAAGAATGGAGTGCGTCACCAGAAGACTTGTCCGTACACACGACAGCAAAACGGTGTAGCGGAACGAATGAACCGGACGCTCATCGAGAAGGCCCGAAGCATGCTGAACGATTCACGTCTCCCGAAGGAATTTTGGGCCGAGGCGGTGTCAACGGCAGCGTATCTCGTTAACAGGAGTCCAACGAGGTCCCTTGAGATGACACCGGAGGAAGCATGGACCGGTAAGAAGCCAGATCTGAGCCATTTGCGTATTTTCGGATCGCTAGTACTGGTCCACGTACCGAAGCACAGAAGGAAGAAGTTCGACGCAAAATCCCAGAAAGCAGTTTTCGTGGGATACGCCGCCGATGTCAAGGGATATCGGGTATACGATCCGGTCAAGCGTGACATCCAGATCAGCCGTGACGTGATTGTGGTTCAGGAAGGCAAACCGCAGGACTTGGTCGAGCTCGTCGAAAGTGTGCAACAGGTGCAGTTCATGGAGCTGTACACGATCGAACAACCAATCATGGATAACAACGACACCATTGAAGCATCAGATGATACGGACGGTACATCGGGAAGCGACTCAAGCAATGCTGAATACGAAGACGCCGGCAGCGAGGATGTCGAAAACGAGCCTGCGCTCCCACCGCAATCTGATAGACCAGCTGAAGAGCAGCAAGGGTTTAGGCGCAGCGTCCGGGAGCGCCGATTTCCAGGCAAGTATTCTGATTTCGTTACTTATAGTTCGTTTACTGGTGAAGCTGTTTCCCCCCAGCCGTCACCGATACAATCTGAGATGCCGTCTGATGACCCCGAAAGCTACGAGGAAGCGATCAATGGACCGGACCGCGAGCAGTGGATTGCGGCAATGTGTGAGGAGATCGCCGCTCTGGAAGAAAACGAGACGTGAGAGTTGACGAACCTTCCAAGTGACCGGAAGCCCATTCAAAACAAGTGGATCTTCAAGACGAAGCGAGGACCAACCGGTGCGATCGAGCGGTACAAGGCTCGTCTAGTCGTCAAAGGGTGCTCGCAGCGGCCAGGCATCGATTTCGATGAAGTGTATTCCCTAGTGGTACGATATTCTACCATCCGATACCTTCTGGCGCTGGCAGTGAAGTACGACTTGGATGTAGAGCAGATGGATGCTGTCACCGCGTTCCTTCAAGGGAAACTAACGGATGAAGTCATTTACATGAACCTGCCGGAAGGGTTTGCCGGGAACTCGAAGTAAGTCTGTCTTTTGCGGAAAGCATTATATGGCTTGAAGCAGTCCAGCCGTGTGTGGAACAACCAGCTGGACGAAGCGCTGAAAGAGTTTGGTCTGGAGCGGTCCAAAGTTGATCCATGCCTGTACTTTCGGATCGTCGGTGAAAAAATGATTTTCGTCACCATCTATGTCGACGATTTCTTAATCTTCACCAACGATGCCAAGTCAAAGCGGAAGCTGAAGATGTTCCTTCATAAGGAGCTGGTTTTAAAATGAAGGACCTTGGCGAAGCGACTTTCTGTCTCGGATTGAAGATCACGCGGGATAGGAAGAAAGGGAAGCTGTGGGTAGATCAGGAGCACTACATCGACAGCATTTTGCGACGGTTCAACCTGGCGAACTGTAATCCCGTCTCCACACCAGCGGAGAAGAAGAGATCCTTGAAATGAAGCAAGTTCCTTACCAGGAGGCAGTTGGCTGTGTCACCTATCTGGCGCAAGCGACGCGGCCAGACATCAGTTTTGCGGTCAACCAAGTTAGCCAATTCAACAGCAATCCCGGCCGTAGCCACTGGAACGCTGTTAAGCGAATCATCCGGTACCTGCGAGGTACTAGTACAGTACGGCTGACATACTCGAAGGAGCACTGCGCGGATTTGGTTGGTTACACAGATGCCGATTGGGGCGGAGATCCGGATTCCGGGAAATCCACCACCGGATATGTTTTCACGTTCATGGGAGGAGCAGTGTCTTGGAACGTTAAGCGACAACCAACAGTGGCGCTATCCTCGTGCGAAGCGGAATATATCGCGCTTTCCCGCACCATCCAGGAAGCATTATGGTGGCATCATTTCCAGTCGCAGATTTTTGGCATCCAAGGGATTCCGCTCCGGTGAGCTTGATTGACCGCCCACGGTTGCTACTCTGTTACGGCCAGATCAGCTGTAATTACACAGAGAACCAATAGACGATGCTTGGGACTAGCAATCATCCTCAATGTGTACAAACTGGTGATCTTAAATTAGGCAATACCAGCGCCGGCTGCGCCCGAACACAGGTCAAGAAAGGAATGGGAAGGATTGTGTTGACATGACACTCGCTTTGATGGAAGCCGAGAACACCTCTGCACTTCCACGAGGTATCACTGGGATGTTGGATAAGAGGGTTGGGTTTGCAGCAGGGTTCGTTTTGGTAAACGATAAGCTGAGTTGATGTCCTAACGATCATATAACGCGAAGGAGCTTGGGACTAAACCCACGGTCTTCTGCTCAGTAAGCAAAAACGTCTAGGCAGACGAGCACCTTTTTAATCACCGAGTTGCTGTTATTACCATGTAGTCACATGAACAAATAAAACGATTGACGAATCTTGAATGTGGATGGGCCTGAGATTAGATTCATGATGTTCTGCTCAGTAAGCAAAAACGGTTGCTCTAAGGCCACCGAGCCCCTCATATCACATAATACCGTTGCTCAAATTTGTGTATCCATTCAAACCCGGAACCAACGACAACAACGAATTTCGCAAAATACACGATACACAAGCGATTTTACCATAAATCTCTTTGATATGTAAGGACCTGGGACCGCGTTTTTCTGCTCAGTAAGCAGGCCACTGTAACCGACGATCTTTCAAATCCGAAAACTAAAAACCACGAAAAAGTACTTAGGCCTTCATTAAGTTCCACTTTCACGCGACGTTCAATGACAGGGTCCTATCCAGGATTACATCTGAAAAATCCAAATCTGGCCAACGCCCACCTAAACCTGTTCTAATCCACCTGAAATGACTAACGAATGGAAGACTTTGACTACCCAGCCATGCAATAGTCTCATTCCGTGCCTTATGGCAACTTGATGATTCTATTGCGCTCATCTCTTGGAACCACCCAGGGGAGACTTGGTCCTGTACCCAATGCTTAACTTATCTCCATTCCACTCAGCTACTCGCAATTTCTTGTGATATAGTGGGCGGAATATTATTATATGAGACAATTCAATGCAGACGTCTTTCCAAATTTGGCAGATCGACAGGTAATCGGTGAGTTACCACGATAGTTGCTATTCAACAACTCGACAACGTCCCATCGTCAACGCCTGCTATGAGAATTTCCCATTGCATACGTCAACGAAATTACGTCATCGAGCTATCGATCAACTACCCTGGTTATCGCCTGGTACCTTATAGCACGATGCTAGGAGGCGAACCGGAAGAATCGATGAGCTACCTCTCCCCCCGTTTTTTTTTTTGGTATTATTTTTTGGTATTTTAACTCTTATGTCAGACTCATCCATACCAATTTAAGGTATCGAGATATTCGTTCCTGCTCGGGAAGAGTGAGTTGGAGGCTCCGGCGAAATTATCTCTTGTGGATATCAACAATTCGACAGTCAGTATGCATAAGGGCCAAAAAAAAACTGAAAAAGCATCGCTGACCTTAAGTTATCTATTTATTTTCTGATTCTTTGTAATTACATTTTACATTATATCCTAAAATACGTCAATGTTGATGAAACACATTCAGTTTTGTCATTACATGTTATCTCTAAGATGATTTACTGTGCTTAAATAGCTAAATCGGTTTTAACACGTCTACATTTATTTACTGTCTAAAAAACACACTGACCAGTGCCAGCATCAGCAATGTCAACGAGCTGAAGAACTTGCCGGCACTGCTGAAGCAACCCAGATTGTCAACCACCACGGCAAATCGTGCATTGTCCGGGAAGCGACATTCCCTCTCCGTGCACCGCAAATTGGTCACCTCGGTTTGCTGGGTATGCTCGACGGAGAAGAACACTGGTGGGCAGGTATGGATCACTGAATGACCATCGCAAGCGTTGGACAGATCGATGTCGACCATTTCGGCATTGACCACACGGCAGTTGACCGCATCGTTGTTCTGGGTGGTGTTGATTCTGCGGGAATTTAGATTTGATCGATCACAGCTCGTCAAAGCAATGTCAAATTCATCTTACCTTGGCAGTTGAACCCAGCGGGAGTGACAGATGGTAATTGTGGCGAAGCCATGTCCCTGAATCCGCAGCCGTCGGTTCTCAGCCTGATGGAAAAAGTAGTTCGGTTGCAACCGGTAAAATACGATTCCCCTCGGTTCCACGTACTGATTGAACGAGTTCGAACCCCAAGTGGTTTGGATCCAATCGTGTCCACAGCGAGGATTGACAATCCGTCTCGGTTCCTGTTGGATGCGTCGAATAACCGGAGTCGTCTGAACGTTGACAGCATCGATAATGGCTCCCGTTCCCACTTCACGCATTTGAAAGATGTCACGACTTTCTTCACGAACGAATCGATTGAACCGGGTAGGAGTGCCACCGGCGAAGAACAGCAACCGCAGGTCCGGTACTTCCTCACGTAGGATATGCAGACGTTCGACGGCAAAGTTGGAGTCCCCTTCGCTGACGGCTGCCGTATTTGGGATGATGAGACCGATCTTCGATCGACCGCTCATGCTGTTGTTCTGCCGTTCGGCCATCATAATTGGAGTTATCTGCTCGCGGAGGCTCCTCAGCACGGTTGGCAGATTCAGCCCAATCGGTTCTGTGTGTAATTTAGATTGAAAAACTTGGGAACTTGAAAACTATAGAACATTTTATACTTACGAGCAACATGAAGATCCACGGTGTACGTCGAATGGAAATCAGCTAGGAATTGTGTGGAGTTGACCAGCACTTCTCCGTTGAATGCGTTCAGGATGGTGTAAGTGGTACCAAAACGACCGACATCTAAATTGTCCAAAAGATGGCTGCCAAGAGAATAACGATATAGTTGAAAATGTTGATCTGAAACCGATTAATAAAAAAAATACTCACGCAACTACCGAGTGAATGTCTCTGAACGACCAAGCTGTGTCGACAAAAATGAATAGATCAGCTGCGGATCTCCAGATCGTTGGGTCTGTTGGTGTGATGGCAGTGGCTGCGCAAGACAAGTCATTCAGAGAGGTCGCTGCAAGATTAACAAAAGAAACGGGATAATTGGGTCTAGAAATCAAATGGAATGGCGTATCAACAAATGTACTTACGGACATAGTTCGCCAGTGCATCGGCAGCTCCTCCCGAAAACTGCACAATTGCCTGTTGGGTCACGGTGAACGCCATCTGCATCTCCTTGTCCAGAATGTTGCTGAACGCCACGGCTTGATCCCGCATCGCCTGGATAGGAGCCACCGTAGTGAACAGATCCCTCCTGTTGCACGATCGCATCTGCTGGTTGAACACTCCACGCTGGGAGTAGTACATGTCCAGCACCTGACTGAGTCGGAGCATGTTGGCACGATTTCTCCACTCAATGATATTTGTGGCCAGGGCAAGACCATCGATTCCAGCACGAATCTCTGCATCGGTCATCTCCAGGGATGTTCGTTGGCTTAGGAAGAACCACCGAGGTGCCACGGTTTGATTCCATGCTCCGGCTGCTCCGACCTGGATGTTTGCCGGTTGAGAAGGAGCATGCAAAAGGGTGACTTCGGCCAGATCACCGGATAAGGTGGCAGCCCATCGGTTATCCACACGCATTGGTTGAACCTGCTGACGAGCTCGGAACTGAGCGCTTCTTGGTGGCATTAGGTCACGTAGCTGAACTGTCTGTGGTTCAAGACCAGCAGCGATACCGGCGATCACTGTACCAGCGGAAAGCGTTCCCCACTGTGTATAGACGACTCCATTTTCGACCGGACAGGCACTGATCGCATTCGTAGCAATGTCCACTAAGCTAGCATCATCTACGAACTCCTGTTCAGCGGGGTCTCCCTCTACTTCATCTTGACTTTCGACGGGAGCTTCCTCTTCTTCGGCGGCGGCAGCTGCCGCTTCCGGCTCGTCTTCTTCCATTTGTTCCTCGTCCGGATCCATCTCCAGTCTAGCCGACTGCTTCATCTTCTTTATCTGCTTCTTTATCTGATTCATCTCCGGTTGGTTGAGCACTTCGATATCGCCGAGATAGTTGGAAAGGAGCTTGTTCCTATCCTTGAAGTCGATTTCCCGTGGCACCCGAGCAGCACGGTATTGAGAAAGCTGAGTGCAGCGGATGTTCTCATCACCACGCACCATCGTATCGATCGAGCTGGACAACATAAAGTGAAGAGAGCACTGCGAAAGAAAGAGGACAATTTTAGTTTCACACAAAGTTCATAGTATTCTACAGAACTTACCCTTTCCTGCGCGGTCAATGTGGCATTCGGGAAGGTTTGAGCATTGCCCGGCAGAAGCCGGGAAAATAGAATCCTATGCTTGGTAAAGTGGAAGCCAACGGGACTGAACGGTAGCACTCCGGGAATGTTCTGAACTCCGGAAGCCCTTACAATACCGTCCTGACGGAACCGGTGCAACAGTGCGATGGACAACTGGCGCATGTCCTGGTTGAATTCGGGGGAATCTTCCACCTTCCGGATCAACTCGATCAGCATGTTCATCGTCATCGGAAGGCGATTGTCGCGTTCGAAGAGTACTGGATTTTGGTAGCACTCCAGCAGCGCAGGGGCCACCCGGGTTTGGACATTGTCCTGCCCATGGGTTTGAAGCAGAGCTCCCAGGATGATGGCAGTGATGAGCACAAGCGTTGTCGCTGGTGTAGATCTCATGATTTTTCTGATTGGCCTGGAATGGTTCGTGTGGGTTAGTCATCGAATTCGTAGAAATGGGTGTCGATTTCGAGGAAATACAAGTGCAATTGTTCGCTCGCATGTAGTCATCACTGGTAAAGTGCTGGGTTGTTATTAGTCAAGGGTATTGCATAAAGTCGAGTACGCGAGGCGATATGCGTGGCTGGTGTGGGTTAGTGTTTCGGATTGATAAGATAATAAACGGTTTTATGTAGACGGTAGATAACGATGTGCTGGCTTGATATTCGGTAGAATCGGTAGTAGCCGTGGAGTTGGAACCTGGTATGAGGTCATGAGTTTCATAGAGCAAAAAGAGCAAAGATAGCATTTAGCTCAACATTGAATTGTTATGGATCGGAAAATATATCTCGCTGAAATGTGACTCACTCCCGAATACAACTTGGGTTGTATTGTAGAGCCGCTCCTAGCTTATCCTCTTGTCTTTATCAAATTATCGAAGGCATGCTTTATTTCAACCGGGCTCGGAAAACAGTTTTTCATGATTCATCAAATGTGTGAAGTCTGATCCACTTAGAATTCGGACACATGAGACCAGGTGTTTCTCGGGATTGATTTGACGTAATAAAAATGTAATTTAGTCAAAATTAAGGCATTTTCATGTAGTTTCAAAATTTGCAAAAATTACTTGGACGGCGCTCGGATGAAATCGCAGACTTTCATTGGAATTTCCGTCATCATCTACCGCACACTGAACTAGTCAACCTCAGCGGCCATTTTTTTGCAACGCCGAGCCATCTGTGCAGCGTTCAGAGTCGTTTTTCCAGTTTTGTGAACCTTAATGAAAGGTTTCGTTTTTATTGCTTTCTCAGTCTAGGGTAATTCAAACAGCTAGTTGTGCATTGCCCGACGTTTCGGCCGTTTATTGTGGCCTTTTTCAAGGGTAAAACAGTCTACCGTTTGTCGTCAATTTTTTTTTGTTTGTTGCCACGATAAGCATGTTTAGCTAGGAGTAGCTTCCTGTATGGTGCATTGAGTTCAATATTAATTAACATAGGACACTATATGACACTACACTAAACAACGGTTATAATTGAACTTACTTCTGGGTACTTTTTTCTTACCGTGCACGTATCGAGTCGAGACGAAACTTTCACCTTGGATCGATCTTTTTCATCCCGATTTCCGATTTTTCGGATCGATTAATTATCCACGAAAAGATCGAAAAAATCGAACTCTTCTTTAGATCTTTTTGATCTTCATAAAAATAGGTGTTAAATTGTTTAAGTGTATTTTCATAGAAAAACGATTTACTCTCACCCCATACTGCCTGGTAAATTTAAAGAACATAACGTCAAAATCAGCATCACTCCCTACAATGACGTCACTATTTACGTTTCCGATATTTACGACTTCAGCAACATTTGAAGGATTGTGCTACCTCCCTCCTGTGCTCATTGCTTCTTACCGTCATGACAATTGAATATTATAAAGGATACCAACGTAAACAAGCGTATTCAATAAAACCAAAGATCGATTCTTTCCCGCATAAACGCCGCATTGACGTTACCGAAAATGGTTAAAAATTATTTATAATCCCCGCTAAACTTTAACTGAAATATAGTAATGGAACTTTACATGAACGTTTGTGTGATAAAGTTTAAACCTTATATATTATGGTTCTTTGGAAGTGAACCTTACAAATAATGGGTTGATAAGAACCATTACCATTCAAAATAGTTGTTTTTTCTCCATACATTTTCGGAGATAGGACTATATTTGAACCTTTTTACTTATGGTTTGAGAACTTTAATGACTATGGATATGGTACCCAACAAACAATTTAGAGCTCTTATAAAACACCTGAGTTGATCAAACGTTGAATAATAGCTTCCAGAGTTGAACAAGAATGTAGTTGTATTGCCTTTTTGGTTAGAAGCTTCAAAAGCTGCTTGGAGCACTCTTAAATGATTGTTTACGTTCGGTTAAACTGTTTGACAGGAGCCATATAGGACGTGGAATAAACACATCAAAACAAACCATTGGGAGCTCTTATAGAACACCTGAGTTGATCAAACGTTGAATAATAGCTTCCAGAGTTGTACAAGAATGTAGTTGTATTGCCTTTTTGGTTAAACGCTTCAAAAGCTGCTTGGAGCACTCTTTAATGATTGTTTACGTTCGACCAACCACCAACCACAATTTTGTTGCTAAAAATAGCACAAGTGATAGGCACGTTTATATGACCATAAGGCAATGATTATTCAACTGCAAGAGAAGTCACTCAAGATGAGCTTCATATACTTCTCTCATATGATCAAAATATGTATTCAAGAATAGAGCAGATGGAAACAGAAGCGGCTGGCAATCCGGGATCATGAGTTCGAATCTTGCTTCGAGAAACCCTCGGTGGAGTAGAGGTAAATTATATATAGGTGTTATTAATAAATGCAAACATTAATTTAAGACATATATCATATTTATAATCAACGATAACATTTCTAGATAAATTCTCTCAATTAATGATTAGAGAGATTAATTGAAAGAATATCATTTAAAGAATAAAAACAGATGCTTGTTCAAGGGGTAAGTCACTCAGCACATTGTGCCGAAATTAGCATCGGCACAGCTTGGGCACATCCATCGGTATACCTTCGGCACAATCTTGTAGGCATTGAATTGTTGTAAATAAAATGGGAGCACTGCTGGACAACTGTCGTTGAAGTTGTTCACAACATTACGTGCTGATTAACTGCATTTTCAGGAACATCCTCTAATTGAGTATACAAGAGGAACTCAGACCAGCAGTTCACTTATACAGCTATCCCCCGAAGAGCGAGCTACCCACTGAGTTGCACCCACCGCTTTTTCTCGGCGGTGTTTCCACCAGTCGGTCTGATTTTTTGCATGTGAGTAGTGCCAATGGAGAACTAGTTACTCACAGAAAATCAGAGCGCTTGGTTGAAAACCCACCGAGACAAAGCGGTGAGTGCAACTCAGTGGGTAATGCGTTCTTCGGGGGAAAGCTGTAGATCTAAATATGAAATGTAGGCTCTAGAGTGGGCTCAAGAGAAAGAGGCAGTTAGTACCGCATTAGTACCCTTAATTCAAATAATGCTGCAACTCACGCAAAATAAAGTAAAACAGTCTATTCATCATCCTCTATAGTCGGTCTCCAACAATGCTCCCCACCGGTTCCAACTCTTTCTGGCCGCTGATAGACCGATGCTTTTCACATCATGAAAAGCTAGGTTTCTGGTCTACCTTTAAGGGCATTTTAAAGCACTCAAACACAGGACTTGTATACACACAAATCACCGAAATTTCGCACACCCTCAACTTCCCGCGTCATCCTCAATCCAACTTATTCTTGCGATTTCAAACCAAAACATTCAAAGTGTCAAAATACCGGGTTGCCAGGATGGGTATTTTACAAACAATCGCAGCTTGCTCTATGACCGGCACAATCGACATACCTGCTGCACACTTGAGGCACACTGACAAAAAAGATGACCCAAGATTGCTGTGCGGAGTGACCTACCCCTTGTGCTTGTTACTACTTCCCCCATGATCACAGAATGTGAATTATTGCATAATTACATATTTTGTCAATGTGCACAAATAAATTAAATTAATAAAAACTGTACAAGCAATTATTTTGGCGTACCACGACAATTGTTAAACTAATTTTAATCTGTGAATATTGTGAGTACTTACACAACGGTTATTAAGGAGTCATTAAAAAGTGCTGTAAACGCTTTTCACCGCTTGCTGTATAGTGATTATTTAGGAGTCATAAAAGAGTGTAACAAACGCCTCTCAGGTTCAATCTTTAATACATTTCGAAGCAGCTGTTAGGAGGTGTCTACAAACGTTGTATTAGAGCTTTCATCAAAACAATAAAGCTTGAGTTTAAATATGTATCTATAAACGTTGTATAAAAGTTGCTTCTATCCGGTTATTGAGGAGTCATTGAAAAGTGTTATAAACGCTTTTCACCGCTTGCTGTTCAATTAATATTTAGGAGTCATAAAAGAGCGTAACAAACGCCTCTCAGGTTTCCTCTCTACTAAATTTCAAATCAGCTGTCAAGAAGTGTCTACAAACGTTGTATACGAGCTTTCACCAAAATAATAAAGCTTGATTTTAAATATGTATCTATAAACGTTGTATAAAAGTTGCTTCTACTCCTATACCGCGTATACATATAATGCTGTAGTTGAACAGGTTCTCCAAACCAGTGTAAACAAGAGTTTTACAGAAGTTGTAATAAACAAATTGTACAGTTATTATTCAGCATGCAGTTGAATAAAATCACAATGGAAGCGTTTCTTCAACAAGAAATTGATTTTGGGTAAACGTTTTACTGAATACGTAAGACAACACCTTTGTGTTGCAGTTGTATAGATTCTCCAAGCCAGTGTAAACAAGGGTTTTATAAAAGTTGTGTTGAACACATTGTACAATTATTATTCAACATGCAGCTGAACAAAATCAAAACGAAAGCGTTTCTTCAACTGGAAATTGTTACTTGGGTAGCCAATAAGGTTCACAAATGGTTTTGTATTAACGGTAAACTTTACGTGGAATATATCGCGAATAGGTAATCAGTAATTTACAGGCAACCAATCCCAAGTAACAAATCTAGAGCTGCTTGGCTATATTCAAAATTTATAAAGGTTTTATTGCAGCTGCAACCATTACCTACAGCTTTATGACGGTCATATACAATGCAAGTCATGGAACATTTTATAGCTATATCTACAAAACCCCTATAAAGCTAATAAAATATTAAAGGGTTGTGTCCTAGACACGATCGCAGTATGACGTAGAACCTATCTATCTATCTCAATCTATGATGCATGATATATGCATATTTTGCAAAAAAATACATCCGAAGTCCCTCCTTTTTTACATATTCTGCACAAAACATACTTTCTAAGCCCCGCAACTGACAGGATTTCCCATCATTTTATTATGAATGGGGGTGGGGCAGAACGTTTCTTTTGTGCAGCACATAGAAAAAAGGATGGACTT